TTGCAGATTTCCTTCGTTAGGACGTACCAATTCTTTTGTGGGTCGAGGGATTCGCTTGTGACGCCACATATCGAACTACTAAGCGAGGCCATATTGGCCATATTAGCTCAATGAGCGTGGAATGCTGATCGGCGAATGAATTAACTCTCCAAATCATTGTTTATATCTTCGAACCTCCCGCTAAAACTGAAAGTGTGAACTATTAAAAAGTAACTTGTACAAGATGTCCGTACAAAGTAGAAAAATCGCCAGGGACCTCCACTGTGACCGATTAAGGACTGAGTACAATTGAATATGATGCAATATTCTGCCCCTGTCCCTCCCCCTGGYTCAACTGTTCAACTTAAGTATTGTGTGTCTCGGCAAAGCTGTCCAAAAACTGGGGGRAAAAACGAACACTTTTCATTTCAAGTTTGGGAACTATTACAATCTGTCTGTATTCATTGTGAATGTTACTTATCGATTTGCATGAAGTGAGGAAGGGTAGATGGTTGAAGTTGTACTGCGAGCTGTAGGTTGCTTTGTTCATGCATAGATAGCCGTTTATTGTTCAAGTTTTGTTTCGCAGTAAACTTCCAAACCCAAAGAAAGATTATATTTGTTGTGCTTCCTAGAAATTTAGCTTATAATTTAATCGTAATATGTAATCTTTTGGCTCTGGCATGATCTCGCGTGGCAACTAAAAAATGCAAAATATGAGCTTCGAATACTGCTTTGTTTTACGCTTCGCTACGGAGCTTTTCCGTTCCCTGCCTCGAAACATGCTCAAGAAATTTACTCAAGATTTTTTTGATGCGAAACAAAGCCGTCATTTGTTTCTTGGCTGTTTAACTGCAGTTATGAAAAGGAAAGTAATCTGACCTTGCTAGGCCGGTATATCATAATTTGTTCGTTGACAAATGGTACTGACACACGATAACACCTTAGAGTTTACTATAGCTAATCCAGTTAACGCCTAAAACAAACACACGCTGAGATTTTTTTTCCTGGGCTAAGCTTCTCATGATCTGCGCCTGATTAGAATCATAAACAGAAGGAATAAAGCACGGTTCGTGAAACGTGCGGAATCGTATGAATGCCTGATTGATCGAGACTCCGGCTGACCGCAAAATCCAATTCAAATCCGTTTTAAGGCAGACATTTTTTTCAATGACAATTGAAGTCAGAGATTATATTGGTTTCGTGCAACCAGGGACCGCCTTCCCAGTCACAGTGCTGCCGAACCAATATCAACCACTTTCGTCATTTGCTGACCAAAAAGAAAATAAGAAAGAAAAAAAAAGAAAAAAAGAAGCAAAATTTTTGCTGTTCTTTTTTCAAATTTTCCTAGAATTTTTCGTTTTGTTTCGGCACAGACTACTCAGGGGTTAGACAGTATAAATGACGCAATATACCCGCATTAACATTGTTATACTGATACGACTGATCATGAGCTTGCAATGCATGAATGACAAGAGGCAGCCAGTGGGATATGCTTATTTATTTCGTTAGAAATCTATTAACAGTTGCGCAAAGGAAGTTGTGTGAACGTACGTTTCGTCAGAAAGAAACAAGTCGATTTTTTGCTCTTTACCCCAAAAATGTCGACTAACGAAACCTTTTCTACAAGTGAGAGTGAACTAAGAGCAAAACAAGAAAAACCCGAGGTAAAACTATATTTTAATTGAACTTATTTCGATTCAATGATTCACGCGATCGAAATAATTAACACTGATATATTCTTCGCTTGGCTTCCACTAAAAGATTTAGTTCAGTTAATTTCATGATACGAGGTTCTAAAACTTAATTTATAAAACAATCTTTTACGCATTAGAAAATCCCTGAAACTATAGCTAGTTTCGTCTTTACCGAACTTTTTGGTTCAATCCCTAAAGACATCAAATGCTTACAAGATGTGCAAACAAAACATGCACAACTGAGTTAACTGCAGTGCCTGAGTTTGTTTTGAAGTTCGATAAAATACTAATGTTCTTAATTTCTCTTCAGTTTTTTTTCTTATAAGAATTATCTGTTATCCGAATCATATGAATAGAAAAATTTGGAAAACTTTAAAGCTATAAAAAGGTCAACGACAAGATCCCTTTAAATTAATCAACGATGAATCAATGGGCAAAATGACTACCATGTCAAGAGATCATAAGTTATGCTCTCTTTGCTTTTGCCCGGGCCAAAAAACTAATATCGCTCGGCGCGTTTTAAGAAGGTTCCAATGGGGTCAGTAGTAGTTAAGTGCCATTTGGCCAAAAAAATTTAGTTAACTGATAAATAACTTAACCTAAAATTAGTAATTAACAGTCACGGTTAACTGATTTTGTTCATTATTTTGGTTAATATTATGGCCAGCGCTCTTAAAATTATTACAGTTAACTGACATTCAGCCGATGAATTAGTAGTTAACTGACAATTGGGTATATCCCCATTAGCACCCTCTTCTGAGTCACCTAGTTATTTGAAAACTTTTTCACACGCTTCCATGCAAAATCGTTTTGACATGCAAAGTATAATTATATTTTACAAAGGCTATATGTCTACATGCAATTAACGGGATACCAGATTTGATTTTTCAAAGGCTTTGAGAAAGGTTGAGGTATTTTATTCGATTCTTTTTTCAAATTCCAAGTAAAAGCTCGTTTGTTTTAAGCCGGCCGTTAGTGAACGATTTTTGCGGAGCGCGGAGAGTTTGTTACGCCATTCTATGTCTACATGCTCAAAACCTGTGCATATACTAATGTCACTGGTTAATTAAAGTGTGCGATCAGCCTCGACAACTAAGTACATATAGAAAAAATCACTTGTTGATATTAGTTAGGACATGGAGGTCACAAGTGCTTGTTTTGTGCAAGCGAACTGAACTATTGTACAATTCCTTTGAGGGTATCAAATTGGGACAAACTGGGGGGGAAAATTGATACAATTGAGAAGTTGAGCAAACTGAAAGTATCTCAATGTATTGGAATTCCAATTCTTTTCAGATAAGAAAACTTGCATAATGTTAAGTATTTTCTGCTTTCAAGTATTTAGTAAACATCTACTTAATCCAGGTTAATTCTTCAAGTGGCCTCGACTCCACTTTATTTAGTGGCCATACTCCCGTATGTCAGTTCTATTTATTCATTTTTGAAACAACTAATCGCGTCGACAATATGAAACAACTTCTGAGTTATTGTAAGTCAGGGCACGGCTGATTCACAGATCGAATTCGAACCCTGAAACAACCTCTGGGTTGTATAAGTCACTGAACTAGCAGCTATCTAACTGGGCTAATCTATCTAGGTCAGGGCAAGGCTAGTCTCCCTCGCATCCGTTTTTAGTGTCGGTCGTCACCGACACTAAAAACGGATGCGAGGGAGACTAGGGCAAGGCTAACTCACAGATCGAATTGCATCAGTTCCCTTTGCAAAATAACAGAGAAAAATGCAATTAGTAGAATAGAAGAATGCATACTAGACAAAGTTTGCTTACTCCTTTCAAGAGATTTGCAAAAGCAACTAGCTAGTTAACGAAGTTATCACAAGATTATTTGATGAATGAAATCTATTAGAATTAAACCACTATATAGTTAATCAAGTTCTAAGAAATGTTTGCGCTTGATTTACAATTATATGCCAATAGGGATTAATTTTACGTAGTGCTTATGGTGTCACTCTATTTAACAAATAAAACAGCTTTTTCCGTGCTCTGTTCAGTAATAAAGCACGCAGCCGGAAGTGACGTAAGCACCTCGATATCAGTAAAAAGCCAGTGCGCTTAGTTCCGATATGCTAAAAACTCAACAAGTGTTACAAGATTTTAAAAATTAGTGCGTTTTATTCAAGTTCAACGTTCAGTTTTAAAGTACAAATGAGTGGATTATATTTACTCTTGATTTACTAGGATGGTTTGAAGGCATCTAGAAGTACATGGTGTGATGATATAGTTTTTGGTGAGAGGGGTCAGGAAGGAAAGATAACCTTTAGAAATTAAACTGCTTTACACATTTGTTGTTTCATCGACAGTTACGACAGGCAAACCAAGCTCAAATCAAAGAAAATGATCTTGTGTATACTGTGGATCAGAGCCCGCCATGGTACTTGGCCTTCTTGCTTGGTTTCCAGGTAAGACCTGAGGGATTGGGGAGTCGGTTTTTAGAGAACTGGAGAGGGAGCAGTTCTACATACATTGATATGTATCAAAGAGTGGATCACACAACTGAATGAGAGAGTCGCAACCACTAAAAAAGATAGTGTATTTTGTGGGGGATCGGTTACTCTCTATTATAGATGATGTCGCAACAAGAAATCCCCAGTCTCCCCACCCAGATGACTAATTATGACCGGTAATTTAAACCATTTTTAACATCAAAATGAAATTTGAAATATAGTGACCTATAAGAAAATTTATAAAAATGGAATAAAAAATGGATTTAAGTCAGAAAGCTGCTAATCAATCATCGTTTATGATATTGTTTTGCAGCATTATCTGACCATGTTGGGTGGAACCCTATCCATTCCCGTCATCCTCAGTGGCCCTATGTGCTTTGGCGACAAACCTCTAGTAATGGCAGAGGTTCTTAGCACAGTACTGTTCTGTTCTGGTGTTGTGACGGTTCTTCAAACCACCTTTGGTGTCAGGTATTATCAACCAACCAACCAACCAACCAACCATGCTTTAACAATGTTTCCTTTCATCGCATAGATTACCCATACTTCAAGGAGGCACATTTTCATTCCTGGCTCCAACTCTTGCCATTCTTTCTCTACCAAAGTTTCAATGTCCAAGTACAAGCCAAGGTATGTGTAGTCCAGAAGCTGCCCCCTCCTTTGACCGCTGCGTTTTCCTTAGGCTGTCTGTGCAAAAAAAGCGCCGTGGTCAAAAGAGGAGCCAGCGTCTGGACTAAGGTATGTGTAACGCATTATGGGCGAACCTTTGTATATCTATTAGATATATCATATACATTTCCATAATCCACTTCTTTAATGATAATAATAATGGGAGGTTCTTGTATAGCGCATTTATACAACGTCTCAATGTGCTTCACATTAATGACAAGTGGAGGACTTTACGGGCTGCATATTAAGGCGCTAGTAGCAGCCGTGCAGCTTACAATCATGAGTGATTTACTGGGCCAGGTGTAGTGTTTTCCCATTGCAGATCACGTTTCATTCCTGAGGATAAGATTCAGTCGTTTCATTTGTATCCATCATGATATTCATGCGACTTCTAGTGTGCAACCGTAAAAAACTAAGAAATTATACTACAGCTGGGAATGACACGTAGTCTGAAAATATTACGCCCAAGTTACGTAAATAGGTAAAGATATCACGTTTGGGTTACATAAATTTGATGTAAACTTTTACAACAACAACAAAAAATCCTTCAAAAGTATATAATAATACTGAATAAAATGCTTTCACATTTTGTTTATTTTTCAGTTGCAATTGTTTAAATTTCAATTTAGTAACTTTATATCTCTAGTGAAAGGAAATTCTACTGGAAATGTTGACGATGAAGAAATCTGGAAAATTCGAATGCGAGAGGTTTGTGAACTTGTAGCTTGTAGAAAATAGTCCTGACACTAACTTCTCCTTTAACTCGTCGTTCCTCTTCAGTCCATGTGATCAGCCTCATGCAAGCAATCAAGCAATTTTATTTCGCTCGTTGAAGCATAGACATTATTTCAGAATGTGAATGCATAGAACATAGGTTTTGCACCGTCGGGCGTGGACCTCCCAAAGTTTTCATTGGACCATTCAAAAATAGATGTACAATAGAAAAATGGGTTTCCATGATCAGCTACACTGCCTTATCTGTAGAAAAACAGGCAATTCAATTTTGCTTAATTCCATCTTTGACTCCCTTCGACATATCGAGCTTGGAAGTACATACCATTCCATTTACTTTATATTTAAAATACTTATCGTCAGGTACAAGGTGCCATCGCCGTGTCGTCATTGTTCCAGATATTCATTGGTTTCTCTGGTCTCATTGGCTTCTTGTTGCGGTTCATTGGACCTCTGACTGTTGCTCCTACCATAACACTCATCGGTCTGTCTTTATTCCACGTTGCGGGAGAACACGCAGGTTAGTTTACCTCAGCTAGGAAAACTAAGGGTTTTGATAAGGACATCTCAGTCCAAGGGCCCGCGTGATTGGGAAAGGGATGAGGGAAGCACAAAATCTAATCAACATACAATGTTTAACTTACTAATGTTTAACTTACTAATGTTTAACTTACTAATGTTTTGATGAACCCATCAAAAATGACCGCTCACCAATGCAACAGGATTGGCTTCATAGCTCAGTTGGTAGAGCATCGCACCGGCATCGCGGAGGTCATGGGTTCGATTCCCGTTGAAGCCTGAAATCATTTCTTCAGGTCTTTCTTTACAGCGTTCGCTTAGATCGCCGCTTATTAACTGTGATGATCAACACTCTAACATTACTAACGTTTAAGTTGGTGTTCATGTGATTTGGAATTCTCACCAACAGTGTACTCATTACACATTTCGATTGAATTGCAGGCAATCATTGGGGAATCTCAATGATGTAAGTAAAGTCGCCAAGGCACTAAATATATATATATATATATATGATATTTAAATCAAAGGTATGAGCAACCGTACGGATCAGACTGGCGCTCGTCATATGCATGCCGATATTAACTTTTCTAACAAGTCTTACAATCATAGACAGTTGCAATAAGTGTTCAATGTTCACTTCAGAGCAGATTTTGATTTAATTCTGCCCTGCAGTGTGTGTTTTGAATGTGTCCGCTGAGCAAGAGAAAATAAACTTTTCTCTTGGTTTGAGCCATATTGGTGCCAAGCTCTGTTAACTATGTTTACATGCAGTCTTAGCATGGCGGTAGCGACTTTGATTTTTGTGATTTCATTTCTCGTTCAATTCTAGGACCATTGCTTTTATCACATTGTTCTCTCAGTTCCTCTCAAACGTAAGGATGCCATTTCCCGCCTGGAAAAAATCCAAAGGATTCTACTTCGCTCGCTACCCTTGCTTCAAGCTATTCCCTGTAAGTAGCTAGATCGACTACCTTACCACGTGATTGACCATGTGTGATTGAAAGGTTGTTTCTGGTCAGGGCAACACGGGGTGGTTGACCGTTGCGATGATTAAAGTTGTTTTTTGTATGGCGTTTCTTCTACTTCAAGGGTTTTTCTTTATCTCTGGATTCTCCAGTATTTAGTCGCGGCTAGTTTTTGAAAATGCGTCCTGCATAACCCCAACGAAGGGAGTGACTATGAGCCCTTATGGGCGTTTGAGCACTCGACATGTCACTCGACATGAAAGTATGGGCCTGGAATCTTCAGTCAATAAAGATAGTTCAGTGAAACCAGTTCTCAATTCCACATAGAGGTCAACCAAACTTGTGTTTTCCTATTTCAATAGATCATTTTTGAATTGGTCAATTACCGCTGTGTTCCTTGATTGCGTACTCCTTTATACAGGGTTAGCCTCGTATTGGTGTCTAAATATTCACAAATACCAACGGTAAGGTAAAGAATGCACAACTTCAACAATACAAACACTTTGAAATTCCACGGACCTTTACTGGAACACGTGAATATTCTGCACAAAGTCAAGCGTGTAACCCTGGGCAACAGATAACTCGAAACTGGAGTATTTATGTGATCTATGAGTAACTTAAAAATCAAAGTTCAAGATCCTACGCGCATGCATGGGTTTTTACCACGCAATGTATTCCTTTTCAGATCATTATCGCTATCAGCTTGTCTTGGGCTGTCTGTGGTATCATAACAGCTGCCGGTGGTTTCCCAGACGACCCTAAAAGTGCAGGATACAAAGCAAGAACTGACGCACGGACTCAAGTGTTACAGGAAGCAAAGTGGTTTAGATTCCCTTATCCTGGTACGTATGTAATCAATAGTACTTATAACATAGACACGATATAACACGCACTCTGATTGGTTATATAGCGTGCGCGAGTTCACACCGAGAGAAAAGCGAAGACGAGCAAGGCAATAAGAAATTATTTAGGAATTTGAAAGAATTGCGCATCATGACTAGAGTAATAGGGTTCGCGGATCGAACAGAGTCACCCTTTTAAATTCTCGCGTAGCCGTGCAACGGCGCGCTACCTTTCAAGATGGCACAAGGAACTGTGAAAAGGAATATGGAATTGGAAGAACATTACGCATTAACATTGAACATTTTTTCATTTACTTTTTATCATTGCTCGTACGATCTGTCACAGGTCAATGGGGTCTTCCAACTGTAAGTGCAGCAGGTGTATTCGGCATGGTAGCAGGTGTCCTAGCATCTATCATCGAATCTGTGGGTGATTACTACGCATGCGCACGTCTATCAGGCGCATCCCCACCGCCCAAGCATGCTGTTAATCGTGGTATTGGTATAGAAGGAATAGGGTGCCTGTTGGCAGGGCTTGTTGGAAGTGGTAATGGAACGACGTCTTATAGTGAAAATATTGGAGCCATCAGCATTACTAGGGTTAGCGTTGGACTTATATAATAACAATAAATAATGATAACATTCATATTTACTACCTGAAAAACAAACAAAAAAGGAAATTGATCCTTGCTAACAGCCACGGAAAGAATAATCAATACTCAAAACAGATAATGACTAGGGGTTACTAGTTGGGGCTGCGTTGGTCCTTGAATACAACAAGTGAATAATATAAGGAACTTTAAACGCTGCGTACAATTTTGCGACTGGTTTGGCACACTGCTTGGTATGATACATAAAGAGTACAAATACTAAAAGCGTAGAGTGCATACCATATATCTGTGAAAACCTTAATTGCACTTAATTTGCACAAATTACTAAGACCGTAGACCTACAAAACTTTGCACAATTTAGCAGTAAATAGCACTAAATAAACAAAAGAAAACAATATAATTAGCATAAAATAACACTATTTTGTGATATTTATGCTGCACACTTAGTGTTTGTACTCTATATGGTTTGCACTCTACTTTGCGCTATTTTGCACTAAACTTGTGACGTACTGATTTTGACTCAATTTCGTTTGAAAGGTTGGCAGCCGTCGTGTGCTACAGTATGGAGGCATCATCATGGTACTAGTGGGTATCCTTGGTAAGATAGGTGCTTTATTCACCACTATTCCTGATCCCATCGTCGGAGGTGTTTTCATGGTCATGTTTGGTATCATAGCTGCTGTTGGAATATCAAACCTACAGTTCGTCGATCTCAACTCGTCGAGGAATCTCTTCATTGTCGGTGTGTCCTTGGTAATGGGGCTTGCTTTGCCCAACTATATGAATGCTCATCCCAAGGCTATAGAAACAGGTCAGGGCTTAGCCTAGCTTCAATTAATTCTATCGATACCCTGAAGTACCCTCTGCGGTAATCAAAGTCAGGGCACGGTTACTCACAGATCAAACCCTGAAACAGCCTTTGGGTTGACCTAAGTCAAATCAGGGCGAGCTAAACCACAGATAGAGCCCTGCAACAATTTCGGAGCCGATTAATTTTAGGGCATTACTAACCCGCAGATGAAACCAAGTTGAATTTAACCTCTTGGCTAAGTCAGGTTAATTCACGGGTTAATTTACTAGATTGGAATTGAACAGAAAAGATTCGTGCGCCTTTCGCAATACAGGATTGTAACAGTACTAACTTTTCAATACCTAACATCACTCAAGATTGTAAGCTGTGGCTGCAACCAGCGTTGACCAGCGGCAACCGTAAAGCCTTTGAAACTATATCCTGTAACCTAAGTGACAATCTATATGTTGTCATGCAGTATCAGTTGTTTTCCCACGATGAGGAGAAACGCCTTAGAGTCTTGCTCTTGACATTGGAGTAGGCGCATGATTGGACTGAAACTGAACCAATGATTGCATGGGATAGCAATTGCTTTGCATATTAGATGTCCCTGTATAGACGTCTGTATTTACTTTTAAGTAAAATCATAACGTCTTTATTATATCATAACAACAGGGGTACACGAGATTGACCAGATCATCACGGTGCTCTTCAAGACAGGCATGGCAGTCGGAGGAATGACTGCTTTTCTATTGGACAACACCATCCCTGGTACCCCAGAGGAACGAGGCATGACTGTCTGGCGCAAGCTGATCACAGGCAATACAGACGGGTCAGCAGATAAAAGCACTGCATCTATACACACCTACGACCTTCCATTTGGCTTAAACCGATTGAGCAAATACAAGCTTAGCAAATATGTGCCGTTTATTCCGTATTATCCACATGAGCAGGCTGGGAGAAGACAGGGAGAGGGCGAAACCCCTGACACACCACGTGACAATCCTGTCAATCAGTGGCTGTGACACTTCGATCCATAGTTATGTACTTATTTACAAATGTATGCATAAATGTAATATCCATGCCAAGGACTTATGTCGTCAAAAAACCCATAAAAGTAAACATTTTTAAGTACGTCGAACATGAAGGGAGTGATTGCTAAGTCTTCCGCCGGACTTAGAGGCTCATGATCAAACCACGAGGGAGGAAAACGGAGAAAAAGATTCTCTAATTACAGGACAACTCTGCTCACATACGACACCGAGCCCGCGGGAATCGAACCCGTGTCGCATTGGTGAGAGGAGACGCATATTAGCAACGTACCGACACGTGCTAACAAAGTGACAGTATATGAATAACTGGAATTATTCTAATTCCTTAAATTTAAGGCTACGTTGTGTTGTGCCCATGAACCATGTACTATATATCTTGAAGCAAATACACCTGTCATAGTTTAAATGTAGTGTAAATGATTAATGATTAAATGACAGATATAATAAGAAGCAGTTGAAGTACGCCATGTGCAATGTTTGTTGTCTTTTTATACTAAAAAACCCCCAAACAATCTAACATTTACCTACCTAACCACCTTAGTGTCTGCCACTACAGCTCCAGGGTATTCTCGCCAGGATAAACGTCCGCTGATTGTTCACAGGGTGAGCTTGCTGGTATTAGCAGAGGCATATATGCATCTATTGCCGAGTTTCAATGCCAGTAATGCGCATGCTTTTCCGAATCGATGATTCAGGCGATTTTCTTGAAATGTAAATAGTTTTCAGAACCTTTTATAGCTCTCTGGTGCAATGTTTTGCCATTTCATTCCTGGTGTCATTCCCATGAGTATAATTTCTTGGTTTAACGGTTGCATAACGCCACAAAAACACAAGACACACGAAGATGGATGCGTAGGCATTCAAACAAAGAATGTCATTCTCTAGGAAATGATACGTGGCAGAAAAAAGAAAGAAAGAAAAACAGAAGAAAACACGTGAAGAACGGGGACGGCATTTTCCCGCGCAAAAGTACCACCAGTATACGCATGACACATTGTATTACACCGCTGTCCAGTTGGATCTCTTTGTTTTGAAAATGGAGGGTCTGGATCATGGTGGACTAGTCAATGAAGAATATCAAGAAATAAGGACTATTTACAGCAATGGAAGAGAACCGATTGGACTTACAAATGTCGTGGTTGATCCCTTTGAAGAACTTATCTGGGCTGGAAACCAATCGGTAAGTCCTACTCCTATAAAATGTTGGATTTATAGACGTGAAATTTTGGACATCAAGGAAAATAATTTGTAAAATTTGGTCTTCAAACACTGTCCTTCAGTGTTTGAAAAATAATATTTTGAAGTAACTAATGACTGTTGTTTATTAGTTAAGGCAAATATATGTCCAAGGTATGAAATCAAAAGTATTGTTGATAAATAAATAAATAAATTTCTAAGTTATATATATGATGAAATTATTCATCAAAAGGGAGGAAGTAGTAATCTTATATAGAAAAGAATTATCATTGGTCTCTACTCTCATTGATCTTCAGCAAGATACCATTGATAAATCATTTCTATACTACTTTCCTAGCTTATAAATAATTTCATCATATATGATATACTTACTGTAGAAGGATTCTAAACTGGATCAGAACTTAGTGAACAAAGCAGTTTGCAGGCCATTTGTTATACTGAACCCAGTAAATTACTGCTCATATGAGTCTTTCCCGTAGCTCAGTGGTTAGAGTATCTGACCAGTTTCCGAAAGGTCATGGGTTGGATTCCTATCAAGGATTTTTTCTAAGTTCTTTTCAGCTAGAAACCAATGATAAATCTAGGTTGTTCAACGATCAAATGTTAACTTTTTTACAACTTGTAGGGTCATGTCACGTCTTACTTTGGACTCCAACTACAAAAATACACAGCTTTTCAAGCCCATCCCAGTGAGATAAGACACATGTTGATAGATGACAGAGGAATACTAACCCTCTCTTGTAATCATTTACGTTATGGGAAGAGAACAGGATTAAGAATATTCAGTTTAAGGTGAGCTTAATATAACCTTTAAAAAAAACCTTCATATACACCCCCCTTCCCTATGGGGTGATCTTTTCATTAAAACTTTCTGCTACTCTTACATTTTCTGTGCTCAGATCACCCATAATTTTTTCAAATCTAGGTCAAAGTTTAGTTTCTTGAAATTACTAAACAACTGATACTGCCACAAGGTAGCTCAGTTGGTAAGAGCGTCATTTTGATGTGCAGGAGATCGTGGTTCAAGCCTTGGCCAGACCAACATTCAGGCCTTAAAATAACTGAAGAGAAGGCACTGCCTTTGTAATAATATCTGGTTAGACCTTCAAGTCTTCTTGGATAAGGACTTAAAACTGTATTTGTGTAAGACTAGGGGATTGTCTCCTGGTTCATCAGTCTATACTAATCTGGAGGCATAATACTACATGTAACATACTAACAAATCACCCATAATTGTAAGCTGCATGGCTGCCAAGGCTGCAGCCCTTAAAGTCTTCCATTGATATTGTAAAAGTGCCATAGAGCTCCCGGAAATGCTTTTGCTTTATTGTCAAGTTTTTTTTTTAGTGAGCCGAGCATGTGTAACCTACAGTGTATGCTACAAAGAGACAACAGCAACTTGTTGTTAGCTGGACATCAAGACCACATGATTGAAGTAGACCTTAAGACTGGAACTGTTACTGGAGAGGTACCTTCTACAAGAAACCCATAAAAGTGACTTTTTTACAATTTTTTTTACAATTTAATTATTTATACTAAATGTTTTCTTTAGGTTGAAGTCGATCCAGGCACAGTTGTAATGAAGTGGTCTTCTAGATATATTTGCTGTGGGGATACCAAGGGAAAGGTAAGCAGAAAATAGAAAATAGATTACCTCTCCCATAACAAGCTAGAAAATGCTTGCTAGATATTCCCTTTACCATCTACCCTGTTTACAGAGCATTTTCATGAATAAATCATATAGGATTAAGAGTACCGACGTTCTCTGGAGCCTTGGCTTGCTACTTGAGGCTCTTGCGTGCCGCTACAACGATCTTCAAAATAGGTGTATATACATATATATAAATAGCTTGAGTTTTTCAATTTTTTTACCTCTCTTAAATTGCAAGTCAAGTTTTAATAAAGTTGTTATTATCATTATGCAAAGTATGGGTGACATAAATTGACTTCCATTTTCTTCTGTGTTGGTCAGGTTACTTTACGTGATCCAGTTACCCTGCGATCAGAGCACGTTCTTGATGCACATTCCGGAACGCTATCAGATTTTGATGTTTCTGGTAACCTGGTGGTGACTAGTGGGTTCTCTTCAAGGTAAAAAGACAGTCATTATATTATTTTGGACTCTAGCACAGGGTTCGTGCTACTCCTTGAAATCCTTGAAAAGTCCTTGAATTGAAAACACGTTTTTAAAGGCACTTGAAAAGACTTACCCTTCAAAGTAAATTTCTTACAATGTTATCCTAATTCCATCAATCACTTGAAAATACCTTTAATGATAAAATTTTGTGTGTATTTTTTGTAGGCATGGTCATTTGACAGTTGACAGATTATTGAATGTCTATGATTTAAGAACCCTCAGAGCTCTCCCACCAGTACAGGTATGAGACTTATTATACATAAATCAACAGTATGGAATCCTTATATTATAAGAGTATGTCAAATTAACTCTTATAACCCATCAGTAAAACCTTGCTAGTATATGTAAGTTTTGTTCTCGCTAGCAAAAATTTCACTATTTATTGATCACAGTGAATAGCAAACGTTACTTGATGCACGTTTTAAAATTCAATTTTCCTTTAATTTTCGGACCATTGTCATACAAAATTTCACTCGCATTTTGCAAGTTTGCGAGCATTAATCTTATTTCATGCCCTGTAACCATTTGTAGACTACGGAAAATGAAATTTTACAATTGAGACATCATTTTTTTCCTCCATTAATTAAAGACCCTGAGTGTTGTTCTGCCTAGAACGCATGACCTCCCGCATGAATGTCTGATGCTCAACCAACTGAGCCAATCAGATTGAGTTTGAATGTTGTTCACAAGTGAAAAAAATTAAAAAGCAGTAAAAAAGTTTGCGTGGAAGCTAGAACAAGCAATAATGCATGTAGAGTTTGCTAGAGTTTTCGTGTTTTTGACCTGCAGGTCTCTATTGATCCTCTAATATTGAAGTTTCTACCATCCTTCACTTCACGCCTGGCAGTCGTTTCACAGGTAAGCTGACAGAAAAATTCGATAAATATGTATTAATAATTAATTGATAATTTGGAATTTTGTGAATTGAGGAATAAAATCATTGCTTTGGTATGTAAACTAATGGAGAGGTAGGCAGTGCTTGACATTAATCCTAGTCCACTAATCTAGGTCTAGTAAAATTTTGCTCTGTGCTATTGAATTTGGTGGGGTTTTTTGGATTACTAAAGATCTGGACTAGTAGATTACTGTCCTGGGATACTTAGACTTACTAGCCCACAATTGCCTCATCTAATTGCCCCATCTATTGCCCCATCTATTAAAAACGTTAGTGTCAAGTATTCAGAGGTAATGCATTGCTAATCTGTGGTCTCCTCATTTTAGTCAGGTCAGTTCCAGTTTTGTGAGCCTGGTGGTCACACGACGGCATCATCAATGTGTGTTTACGGCATTAATCCTCATGGGGGTTCCTGTACTGCTCTAGATGTGTCATCTAATTGTCATGCCATGGTATTTGGGGATTCCAGTGGTAAGTTGAAGTTGGATCAAATGAGCAAATTTGTTTGATCTAAAATATTTATGCTGAGGTGAGCCACTTTTTGAGGGTTACTAATGTTATTTGGAAATGAGCCATTAAACAACAATGACAACAGCAAAGCAAGAAAATGAAATATGGAAATACAGGAGAAAAAAGTGGAAGAAATGGAAAGAAAGAAAGAAAGAGAGAGAGAGAAAGAAAGATAAGAAGAGTTTATAAAGTCATCCATATTTATTTTAGGATACATGCATTTGTGGGGTGACACTAAAGTTGCGGATGTATCATTCAATGCGTATTCTGGGCCAACTGAGTTTGCTACAGAGGTAGGCTATCAGTTCTTAATAATTCATACATGCCAGATACAGATACTGTAGTCAGAACGGTCAACGCAATCAAATTCTTTTCTTGCAATGCTTGCAATGATAGAGACCTGTTTTTAACATGTTGGACAATTATTCACATCTCTATCATTGCAAGCTCACATTCATCTCACTTTGATGCAAAAGCACAGCTACCTTTCAAGATGGCGCAGGGAACTGTGAAGGAGACTATTGCAACATGTACTATATGTATCTTTGTTTAATCTCCACCTTCAAAAGTGCTACTCTATCATCTTAGTGTGATCTACCCTTTCATACCAGATGATATATAGTGGAACCCCCTTCAGTTGTCTAAATACCATGTGATCCTCTTTATAAATTAATGAAGTTTTTAATGTAAATTCCAGGTACCTCACTCTCAGCCATTAGCTATAGATGACTATTCTGTTCCCCTTTCTTCATTCCCTCTACCTTATTCCAAGTAAGTGCCTGCAGATAGCTAGTTTTATATATTTAATGTTATCGTGGTTGATTGATGAGAATAATCCAATCATGTTTCCTGTCCATTGTCTCAATCACTTTTACCAATGTGTTTTCAAGCACAAGGTTAGACCTTTCTCAGGCAGCCGCCATGTTGACTAGAACAATAGACACATGTAGCCTTGCATTTATGCTTGACAATAATTATACACAAGTTAAACAAGGGTTATTATTTCTTGGAGTCCCTCATAGATGTTTAACCCATGGACAAACGCAAATATAGACTTGAGTATAATTGTAAAGTTTAGGAAAATTACTGATAATAACACTGATGTTTGCATTGTTTTCCATTGATAGTGAACCCCTGTTTTCTGACTGGACGGCAGAACTGAGTGTGAGACAGAGCAGGTAAGTGCAAGACCTAACCACACTGCTATTTAACAAATTTTCAGTGGTTTTTATATTGTATATCCCCTTATTTACCACGATATGACATTAACACTTGGTCGAAATGTTATGTACTCATGAGGCACACAGTGGAAACATAACTAATTTTGACCAACTGTTGAAGTCATATCCTGGTCAAGAAGAGGACATACCACAAAAAGAAATTTATTGGAAAATTTTTTTACTCCAGAAAAGCATGCAAAAAACTTAAAAGAAAAGGGTTTTTAGAGGGAGTGATGGCTCATTGTGTGAGTGATTCATAATTTGTTGACATGATTTGTTGGTATGTCTTCTTATTTACCCCCCTCCGGGTAGGGGTAATGAATGTTACAGTGATAAGCAAATTGTTTATTTCTAATATTATTTGTTTGATTGTTTAAGAAATCCCCTGCCAATTGATCCTGACATTCTTCGTACGATGGTCATACAGCAATTCATTGGACATGCACCAAAGCCTTCAAATAAAAAAAGAAACCAGGTATTGCTTTGACTAATATAAAAATTGCAAAGATAAATATAAAAAATTGCAAAGAATCTTCTAATCCCCCATATATGTACACACCTTTTGGTTGTCATGCAATGCTTCACTCACCAAGCATTGAGTGATGAGCCAAAGTATATTGGTCTGGATAGGAGGATATGCTGCTGACTGTCTTTCAGGAATGTAATAGAACTCTTGCATGTGATGCAAAGGAGCTCAATCTGGGAGACAAAACAAAAGAATTTCAATCTCCTGAGAATTGGAAACCTATTGCTATGTCCTCCAAATTGGAGTGCATTTCGACAGACAACGAGGGGTCTATTGACAGAGTATATCTTGCATTTAATTTTATGATTGTCATTGTTGTTTTATTTCCAGTGGCCATACCAAGCCAAACCAGCGAACATCATGTCACAGACCAAAAAGAAAGATGATGTGGAAGTTCCTGAATCACCAATGAGTAGAGGTACAGCATTTAATTAGGATTCTATTTTAAAGTATAGGACATTGAAATTTTTATAAGCAGTGTGTATGTAGTGGTCAAATCCATTGTTGGTGCTCTTGAATTTTCAAGATGGATCTTCATCTATCCTGTGTTTAGGACACATTTAATCTTTTGGTCCAGCTTGATGTATCCTTAAATAGTTTATAAGAAAAGATGTGAATTATATTTCATCAAGCAAATTTTTCTCGGAAAAAGATTAATACTCCACTTCCTTATTACTGCGATAGAGTTGTTATGTGCAATTTACATTCCTAGCTAGCCTGTGTAGTGGCACTTTGGGGAGAGGGGAGGGGGGAGGAGGAAAGGGCCACTCGTTTCTCAAATGTGTTTGTTTTCTGTTCACAGAGGACGACCCAACCATTATCATCCCAAAGGCATATCGTCGAGTAGAGATGAAATACTCAAAGTTAGGTGAGAAAGAGTGTCTTACTTGGTAGCTACAGTTTCACGATCCTGTCATATGTAACTGCTGTTTTGACGTCATATCTATTTTACCTGTTTCAAGCTGTGGAATGTGCTCCATTTGCTATCGTCGATCAAAAAAGATCTTGGGCTGATCTAAATCAGGGCACAGCTAAGTCACAGATCAAACCCTGAAACAACCTCTGGGCTGATCAAAGTCAGGGCACGGCTAACTCACAGATCAAACCCTGAAACAACCTCTGGGCTGCCCTGTCTTTGATCAGTCTAGAGATTGTTTAAGGGTTGGATGTGTGAGCTAGCCATGCCTTGACTTTGATCAGCCCAGAGGTTGTTCCAGGGTTCGATCTGCGAGTTAGCCGTGCCCTGACTTTGATCATTGGAATTTAGCTTGTTAGTTTTTGCAAAGGGAGTAAGACCTCTAATCAAGGTCCTAAGCCTTTTCATTTGTACAGAAGCCCTAGTTCCAATCGACAGCTTGCGCATTATTGAACATCGTTGTAAGTATTACATGATATATTTTTTCAATATCAGGTTTAAAAGACTTTGACTTTGGTCATTACAATAAGACAAAGTTTGCTGGGTTGGAGATACATATTCCTAATGCTTACTGTAACGCTATGCTGCAGGTAAGTGGCCTGGAATGCAGTACATTAGTGATTAAAGTCCTAAACATATATACACCTCTTTACCTTTGGCGTAATGTTTTCCCGTTCCGGACCACATGTCATTCTCTTGAGAATAATATTCTCGCAATAATGTATTTTTGAGTTTATCCATATTTATATGTCTTCTCATGCGCAACCATTAAACGAAGAAGTTATACTATAGGGAATGACATAAACTGCTGTGCCATGGTGGTATTGTGTAAAAGCCTCAACATCAACAAAATCTTCAAGCTAAAAATACCGTGCGCAACAATTTCCATCTAGAGACCATAAAGAACTCGTGGTTTCATTTTCGTGAAGAAGGCGACGTATTGCCATGCATGGTAATTGCGCACTCCGTATGCGGGAGTCAGTAATACCATTTGTTCTATAGCCAAAACCTTCACGAAACTTTTCGAAATAGCTGCATTTTGGGCTGGCCTTTGCGTTTCAGATGCCTTATGTTATATAAAATATACTAGTTTTGGCTGGCAGTTTTTTTTTTTCAAGTGTTGTGTGTCTGTTTCGTTTTAGGTGTTATATTTCATTGAACCATTGCGAGTCGGTCTGCAGAACCATATATGCTCTAGAGAATTTTGTTTGGCTTGTGAGCTGGGTTTCCTGTTTTATATGTTGGACCAGTCAACTGGTGCTCCTTGTCAGGTATTTGGTACATGATTACTAATGATCTTTATGGAACCCTGAAACAACCTCTGGTCTGATCAAAGTCAAAGCATGGCTATCTCACAGATAGCATTGAAGTTTAGCGTGTTTGGTTTCGTGTTTGGAGGTAAAACTGGATAATCCGGAAAAAAATCCCTCGTATTAAGGAAGAGACTTAACAAACTCTACTTACATGTGATGCCGAGTCTTAGGAATCGAACCCAGGACTCTAGAGCTGAAAGGCAAGTTCACTGCTTCTAACCGCTGAGGAACTCCCTGAACAGTAAGTATAGACCTTTAGAATTGTACCGCTACACTACCCTATACGGCCTAAAGTGGCCCCAGAAATGACCTCTGAGGAACTCCCTGAATAGTAAGTTTAGTCCTTTAGAATTGTACCGCTACACTACCTTATATTTCCCAATAATTTGGCATAACTTATAATTTAAAACTCTCACTCCTCATAAGGGGCCTATCCGTAAGCTTCGTTCGTGCTCCACACGCATTAACCAACCTTCATTGTTTACAACACAGCACTCAACTTAACTATCCTCTTCTCTTTCCCTATCGACCTGCTTACTTACTGCATCTGCTTCTCTTTCAGACAACTTTTTTCTTCTACAATTTAACGATATCGTTGTTTGCAGGCGAGCAACTTTCTGCGAGCATTTCGTACAGTTCCCCAGGCCTCAGCTCTTGGCTTAGTGTTGAACGATATAGAGGAATCCACAGGAAATGTCAATTATCCACGGCTCATTCAAAGCTGGATTCTATTCGTTCTTCAGCAGACACATCAGGTACTTCAAAACTATTCTTTTACAAGATAATTATATCGTTATACTAAATATTAATTCAATTTATAGGATACATTGCGACCTAAAGTGGCCCCAGAAACAACCCCTGAGGAACTCCCTGAACAGTAAGTTTAGACCTTTAGAATTGTACCTTTTTCTGTCTACATTTCAGACTGTTACATTAGAATCTTAAGTGGCCCCAAAAACAATTTCTGGGGAACGCCCTGAAAACTTAACTTCAACATGTTTATTTGTACTTTTACATTGTACGCTTTTATCTACATTTCAGACTGTTACGTTAGAACCTTAAGTGGCCCCAAAAACAATCTCTGGGGAACGCACTGAAAACTTAACTTAAACAAGTTTATTTGTACTTTTACATCGTTATTTTTATCAACATTTCTGACTGTTAATATCTTAAAATACAACAGAACTCAAGAGAAAGCAGAGAACACATCGATTTTGGAGCATCTTTTTGGAGCTGAGGTGGAGCAGTGGAATAAATGTCGATGTGGAAAGAATAGTACACGAAAGTCATCTTCGCTGATTTATGATCTGGAATATCCCGATATGTCAGGTATTTGGAGGGTTTGAAAAATACAAACAGACAAAAAAAAAAAAAAAAACTGGACAAATAACAGGTACGCAGATGGGAAGCAATGAAGGAATTAATGGACGGACGCACTCGCAAGCGAACGAACCGTGGAACAGAGTTTAATTTTAAGAAATTCACTATTTCTTGTAATGAAAAGATATAACTAGCTAAAAACTAGTGTGAGCTGCGTCGGTGTTTCTAATGAAACAGTAAAAATGAAAAGGTAAATTATACACCGTGAAAAGATGAAAAAACTTACTGACGTTTCGGACGCTAGTCCTTCGTCGGAGTAAATGTAATGGACGAAGCCAATTTAAACACCGCTTATTTGGTCTTAATAATAGACCCCTTGCATGTGATGTTAAAGCAGCTTAATTTGTGGGACAAGACAAAAGAATTACAATCTCCTGAGAATTGGAACCTATTGTTTTGTCCCCCAGATTGAGCTGCATTCCAAAGTGCAGCAAGGGATCTGTCACCTATCGGCTATCACTTTATGTCTCCTTTGGCTCCGACAAACGCTTTTGAATATTAAGTAAAGAACATTTCATACTAGTTTAATTTACTGCAGTAAAGTGTATTACGAAGCGGCTTAGACATTTATCTTATGGGGTGTTTGTATGCTATTGTTCCAGATAAACCACCAGCTACACCAGTGACCTTCGAATCCATCATTGAGGCTACTTTATGTCGCGAACAGTCAATGCAGGCTTGGTGTGATAAGTGTGGTCGTTATCAACCCACAGTAAGTACTTCTAAGGTTTRGTATTGTCTTCTACCCTATAAGTAGGTTTTCCAAGTGCACAATAGCATCATTAGCAWCTGCTCACTGGGTGAAAGTGGCCGAAAACTGCACGCGTTCTTTTATCTTTTAGAGCAGTTCTCTTTTGACTGTGAAAAGCTCACGTGACATGGCAAGAGATACGCCAGACCAATCACATTGCACGATAATTTACTCATTCAATCAAATACTCGGAACACGGCATAAACACGGCGCGGACACGGTCACGCCAAGGTCACGGCAATTAGTGCCACTCCAATCACATTGCCCGATAATTTTACTCTACATCCAATCAAATTCCCGGAACAAGGCATAAAGACGGCGCGGACACGGTCACGCCAAGGTCACGGCACTGCCAGACCAATCATATTGCGCGAGAAAACATCAGCCAATTAATATTCTAAAAAACATCACGGTCACGGCACGGCACCCTAACGGCACTAAGCTTTTCACAGTCATGTGGAAACTGCTCTATTATCGCATTTCTGGGTCAATGCATGTCCCTTACATGTTGATCGTTCGTTCAAGAGAATCTACTAYCTCTTTTATCTCAGGTCCAGACACGTAAAGTGACCTCCTTACCAGATGTACTGGCATTCAACTGTCACGTGGAACAGRACAGTGAAATTGATCTGTGGAAGGTTCAACAAAAGGTAAGACGAAACGATGCTTTCAAGAATTTTCATACGGAACGGAACGTACTGCGCATGCGCTATAGTGCAAAAAAATGTCGTTATGTGCAAACGAAGAAATGTGTGTGTGTGTGTGTGTGTGTGTTTATGGTATGATAATGTTGTTGTGGTTCGACGTAGCTCCTGAGCGTCCCTCATCATGAAGAGAAACCAGCGCAAACCACTAAACCCTGTCGATATGGAGAAAACTGTACGAGGTCTGGCTGCAAGTTTCGCCATGATGTGTGAGTATTTTTCTTTCATACTTCCTTTCGTTTTTAAGGCCCAGACACACCGTGCTACATCGTGTGAACACGACTTGCAAAGTCTCTGTCAATCGCTTTATGCTCTAATTCATTGAAATTTGATTACTTTGGTTCGTAAAACACCTACGTTGCATCATGTCATTCCAGGCCTTTATAGAACATATCCACTGTTTTCCGATTCCAAACCACGTGTCATTCCTTAGAGTATTATTTCTTTGTTTAACGGTTGCGCATCAGAAGACACATGAATTTGGATACAACTCAGATGAAAAATCTTATTCTCGAGAGAATGACACGTGGTTTGAAATGGGCAGAAATTACGCCCAAGTGGATTTGTGCTAATGCGTTCCTTCTTCATCTAGTCTTGTGCATGGCATTACAAGGCTAAGTGCACAATGTTCATTTGAGCTTCAGAAAAGCTAATGACATTAGTTTAATGTCGGTTTTCACTGTTTTCCATTCAGAGTCATAATCGAGCCTGAAGAGGAACCGAAGTCCTGGATTCCAATGGCGATCAAAATACAAACATCGGAAAGTGGTGAACTAGTGATCACTAAGATCGACGAAGTGAGTGAATCTAGTGCATTACGATCATACATTCCATGGAGGGATCAAGGATTTTGATTGCGGGGGAGGGGGGTTACGAAATTAGACTAAAACAACCTATGGGTTGATCAAAGTCAGGGCAACGCTAACTCACAGATTTTACCCTGAAACAACCTCTGGGCTGATCAAAGTCAGGGCAATAAATAAATTTTAAACTATTACAAAAAAATGGAAGCTCTGAATAATGTATGACCGTTCATGACTGTTGATTCTTACAGAATGACAAGAAAATCAAGTGTGGAGAGAATGAGGTCATCTATGATCTTCATGCTACAGTAGGGTATATACAGGACTCTAGGGTAGGAGGGAACCTTGTAGCACATGTCCATGTTGGGACCACGTACCATAGTAGGAAAGAGGTGAGTGTTATATCCCCCGTGTTCTGCATGCTACAGTAAGGTATATACAGGACTCTAGGGTAGGAGGGGACCTTGTAGCACATGTTCATGTAGAGACCACGTACCATAGTAGGAAAGAGGTAAGTGTAATATCCCCATGATATTCATGCTACAGTAGGGTATATACAGGACTCTAGGGTAGGAGGAAACCTTGTAGCACATGTTCATGTAGGGACCACGTACCACAGTAGGAAAGAGGTAAGTGTAATATCCCCCGTGATCTGCATGCTATCCTTTATGCTACCTTCAAGTTAAGGCGTACAAGCAAGCCAGCAGGTAGGCTAGATGTTGGTTCTGGTTAGGACACATTGGGATTAAGAAGGGGAGACAAGCAGAACCCACGAGGAAGGACTACAATGCAGGCTACCCAGGAGTAGGGCGGGGTTTTTAAATGTCCCTAATATTCAAAAACGAAGGTATTAGCTGGGGCACCCACTCGTAAAATAGACCAGACGTTTGATTATATGCACACATTTACGGTGCAGCGAGTGCGATACTTCGATAGTGCACTTCAGCATTTTTTTTTAGGTTTTAGCAGTGAAACCCCGTGCTGTGGTTGGCTCATCAAATGTTTGGAATCAGTACCGTGACCGTGTCGCGTGCAATAGTTTTGTTTCTAACGAGTAGTCTGCTTTATACTAGCAAGAAATAAAAGTTTCGTATATAATGAACATTAATATTCTCTGTCTTTTCTTGTTGTGGTTCTTTCACAGGGTGTTACGTGTGACCAGTGGTATCTGTTTAACGATTTCGCCATAACACCCATCTCCCCAGTAAGTACTGATTTGTGGGCGCCATATTTGAGGGACCTTGTTTTACACTTTATTGGTAGAAAGGTGAAAAGAACTGTCTGATGACGTGGTGTTGGTCGTGATGGCGATAGTGAGGATAATGGTCAAGATGAGAATGGTGATGCTAATGGTGAAAGTGATGATGGTGGTAGTGGTGAGGATGCTAATGATGGTCGTGACGATGATGGTGATGATGGTGGTGATGTTGATGATGATGATTGTAGTGATGGTGATGTTGATGATGGTGATGGTGGTCATGATGGTGATGATGGTGATGATGGTGGTGATGGTGATGATGGTGGTGATGAGGATGCTAATGGTAATGATGATAGTGTTAATGGTGATGGTGGTGGTGATGATGCAGATGCTAATGCTGCTGCTGCTGATGTTGGTTATCGTGATGATGTTGCTGATGACGATGACGATGGCGATGACAATGATGATGGTAATGTACCGGAAGCGATAGATATTAATAATCAATACTTTACGTTTCGTTCTTAGATCGAATCTGTGGTATTTAACTTGGATTGGAAGGTACCTTGTAGTATAGCCTACATCAGAAGAGACATTAACAGCAGACATGATCTAAAACGTAAGTATAACTCTTGCTGGATTCAATCAGCTGATAAAAGTCTTTGAATGCCATGGTTTGCCTCAAATAGTGGTCAAACACTGACCACCATGTGCTGTCAGCCAGAAAGTATTCTTTTAAAAACTACAACGACTCAGCTGATGAACATTCCACACGAGAAATGAAATGACGTCAAGCGATGCCCTGCAATACAACTCGTATTGGGTTTGTCTTGTGTCAAAAATTACACACAAGAAAGGTCAAAAAATTGTCATCAAAAATTTGTTATAAAGATTCAGCCAATCAGACACTCAAGAGAAATCAAAACGTGATCAAACATTCAGCCAATCAGAAAACTTTATCAGCATTTGCAACGAAGATTATAGCTTCATCTTACCCCTTTTTCCAATAGTGGTTTTACAGTAGGTTTTTTTTTTCTTCTTTCTTCCAGTATGTTCACCTATCGATGATAGCATTCTGTTCAGTAATCAGTCCGTTCGTTCAGATAAGGAATTTCAATCTCGTGCCTTTACTCGCCTCACACCAGATGAACTTCCAGTAGAAGGAACCATTGTTGCTCTTGATGCTGAGTTTGTGACTTTAAACCAGGTTCGTACATTTCTATGGAAAACCCACCAGTTTCAGTCGCTGTCATTTTGTTGCCTTTCCTTTCCTTGATTTACCTTTTTCGTTCGCCAAAAATGAAAAGGAGGGAGAGAAAAAGGAGAGAGARAAAAAAAAAAAGAAAGTAGGAAGTGGAAAAGGGACGAAAAGAGGCGAGAGAAGTGGAGTAAAGAGAGAAGAAAAGAAAGAGGAAAATGGGGAAACTTTGCCTTTTCCTTTATCCCCGTCATTGTTCATGGTTTTCTATTTTCTTCTTTCTGCCGTGGCATTGATTGTTTAATTTGTTTCAACTGGATAGGAAGAAGCAGAAATCAGAAGTGACGGTACTCGATCTACCATTAAACCAAGCCAGATGAGTGCAGCACGTATAACAGTTGTACGAGGGTAAGAGTACTGACAGTCACGACCTGATCAATGATGACATCATCATTCCTGGTCAGCATGACCACATCCTAGTCGACGTCATGATTTTTGACATTATATTACAATCCTAATATCGTTTTGCTTATAATCCTTTTATTATCTTATATTCTGTTATCAGTGAGGGACCTCTTGAAGGCGTACCATTCATAGATGACTACATATCTACCTCAGAACAGGTCAGTTTTAGTTCACTCTTTTTCAATATGGTGCAGATTATCTTAGCTGTTTGATTTTAATATTAAGTAGAGCTCGCTTCAGAAAAAAATTTATTTTAACAGAAGCCGGATTCAACTGAGTTAATTTTTTGGTCGCAGGTCGTGGATTATCTCACAAAGTTTTCTGGTATCAAGCCTGGAGATTTAGACGTCAGCATCTCGTCCAAACACCTAACTACACTCAAAACTACTTACCTGAAGATACGAGCCCTAGCAGACCGCAAGGTTAAGTTTGTAGGACACGGCTTGAAGAAGGACTTTCGGGTTATTAATATTCTTGTAAGTTAGTTTGCTTAGCTTTTATAAGTTTTGCTAAGATTCCCACCCCCCCATTAAACTACTTTGCCTATCGTTGTCTTTTCGCCCTTGCCCGAAACACATTCGCGCGCGCGCAGCTTTCTTTAACAGCAAGAAATATTTTCTCAATTAAAGCTAAATGTCATGCGCTTTTTCTAAGTTCCATAACCAAAATGCATTCTGGTTTAGCTCGAGTACGATTTACGCCAAATATGGCATGGTAAAAAATGTTTTTGCAACAAAAATATACCACAATGCACCGCGTTACGTTAGTTATCTCAAACTATTATTCCTAAACACTTATTGTTTTTCTGAAATATCGCTGTTTTAGATGACAGCAGAATCGCTTTCTGGAATACCAAACTTGTAGTTACATTTTCCAGGTACCTAAAGCTCAAGTGTTTGACACAGTGGAACTGTTCCATCTGCCCAGACAAAGATATCTTTCTTTACGATTCCTGGCTTGGTACTTCTTAAGTAAGTTGACTTTTTAATGAATATTAATTCTAAACGATTTTTCAGCCAATTTGGCTGCTTGTCTGGTTTGTTTGCTTGCCTCCCAGATTTTTTTACTGTTTCCTTTTGTTTTGTTTTGTGCCCCCCMCCCCCCCCCMCMYATTATTCTTTGTTTACTTGCGTGTTGCGTCTTTGTGTATTTGTTCGTGCGTTTATATGTTGTTTTATGTATGTGTTATGCTTTCTCTGACTGTCTTCTCTTCAGTGTACACGTAACAGCATTCTAAACTGTTTCTTTCAGGGCTCAACATTCAATCTCAAACACACGACAGTACAGAAGATGCTCGAACTGCATTGCAGTTGTATCGCAAGTACGTCGAACTGAGCCAAGATCAAGCAGAGTTCAAGARTGTGTTGAAACAACTATACGATGATGGAAGAAAATGTAATTTTAAAGTCGAAGGCAGCAGTGACGACTAAATAGTTATCGCTATTTATATAACATTACAAGTCATACTAAATGCAAAGGATGTAAATGAACTTTAAAGAAATCAATAAAAGATTGTTCATATACTCAAAAATCCGATTTGTCTTTTAAAAAAATAAATTTGAAACTTCCCTACATATCTCATCCATCAGGCTTAAACATACGTTAAATAAACGATGATATCCAATTATTTACGTAAATACGGGGGCTAATTGATTTGATTTTTTTCTCTACTCGAGGTTTAGACGTGGAGTACAGTATATGGATTCAACCTTGGTACCTATACTACCTTAGCGGAACGCAAAAAGAAATCTTAGGTTAAATAAATCTTAGTTTTTGTTTTAAGATAAACAATTTTGTTTTGCCTTTCTTATGTTATAGGGTTTTTTTCCTACCGGATACGGAAGTAAACAATAAAATACCCACAATCCAGTGCCCTCGTACAGGATGTCTATATTTTACAGATAATCGTTACTAATGGAGTTAAGAATGTTGTTAATAATTTCCCTTATAATATCATGTCTTTTAGAGATCTGCTCAAGTAAGTAAATTAACTTGCTTTTAATTCTTTAATGTCTTTAATCATTTTTTTATGATTAACTTGATTTTCACTGTATTTTTTCTCTTCAGCTTCGCAAAGGGTTTTTACAACCACAGATTTTATGATGTTTGAAAGCAACGCTCTTGTTTACTTCGAAGTTTTAAAACCTGACAAAATAAAATATATATTCAAATTACGGCCAGCTAAAGATTTTGGCTCGTTATTTGTAAGTATGAATACTCAAAACTTTTCTTCGAGTTATTTTTGTGAACTTTTTTGAGGTTTTTTTAACTTGAGGATATAGAACTTTATGTATGATTCATCATTTAGCCAAGCATCGTTGTGCATATCAATTAACTGCTTTACGTTTGTCTGTCAGCTGTTCTAACTATTTGTTTGCATTTTCAGAAAATCCAGTTTAATCGTATTCGTTTAGTGGCTACAGAGCCTTTAGAAGCTTGCCAACCTCTCACTAATGGTTGGGCTATGAATGGTGCTATTGCGCTTGTTGCTAGAGGGTACGTAAAAAAATTTTGTTTCTCGTTTCTTGAAATTTTAGACGTATTAAATTTTAGTTCTGCAGTTAATATTCACTTAGCAACACGTTTTTGAATTCTAGGTCATATGCACTAACTTATAAAGACTTGCTATTAAAAAACCTTTGATGCAGAATTCTGCAAATTTTAATAATAGCAAAACTGAATGAAATTAAATGGCCACTGCTTGAGCAGTGATTATGGTCTCGATCACTGGTCTCTTAACCAATCACAGCAAGATAAACTCTATATGCAAGTCTCAAATAGAGGTTTCGAACCATCACATGAGGGCAGCCATGTTAGATGGCAGAAAAAATACAATCGTTTTACATGAGAAAGAATTCAATTCCCAAGAGCAGTCAGGGACTTTATTATTCTGCCATCTAACCACAGGCAGCCCAAGCTGTATTATAGGATGGGCATGTGATGTTGCAAAACTTCTATTATGCTTACTAATGTGTAATATTTATTTCCTTTTAACTTTTACTATTATCACTGTTTTTGGTCAAAGGGGCTGCTCCTTTGTGACAAAATGTAACATTGTAGAACAGTTTGGAGCTGTTGCTGTATTTGTAGCTGACAATGTAAATGATAATGCTGATGCAATGGTTGACATGGTTCATGATGGGACGTCACGGGAGGTACATATTCCTGCTGGGTTCTTACTTGGAACCGATGGGTAAGATATCTGTCTAAGCCATTACACTCATTTATAAGTCATGTTCATGTGACCAACACAGACCAGGTGCCTGGATTTTTGATTTTGAAAACGTTGCTCAATAATACTAGAAATATATATAAATTTATATTTTGTTTATTGAGAAAAACTTTTTGGCTGTATATTTTGTTCAGGTACCACATCAGAGAGGCAATCAAAGAAGCAAAAGTTCCTGAAGCCATTATATCTATTCCTGTTAATGTGACGACACATCCTGATCTATATACTAGACAGCCACCTTGGTCCTATTGGTAGTAAAGCGTTGTCATCGCCAAAGGCAATAGGCGATAGGTAATTCCAAGATCCAAGAATAGCTGGAATGACTTGTGGTTCTGCTTCTTATTCTTGTCAAGAACATGGATATTAGTGTTGAGACTGATTCAATGTCGTTTGTAGTAGAGGAAACTATTTCAGTCTTAGAATGACCTATTGCCTATTGGCTCTGGCGATGATGTTTTTTTTAATTAGGTGTATACACACTCAGTCAAATGAAACAGTTCATAATATTAGTTAGCTTATCAAATAGGAGTGAAATTGCTTCATGGATCTTCATGGATCGGGGGTTCATCATGCTCATCACAACCAATCAAGATTAGGAAAGGTATGTTTTTATGGGGGGGACGGTCATCAGTTAAAAATTGAACTTTTACAGAGGGTCAAACCTTTTTATTTTGATCAGATGGATATCAAAAAAGCTTTTTCCTTGTTGACTCGATAGGAGGGTCATGGATTTATTACTGAATGGAAGGGGGATCGAGGGCTACAACCATTTTTAGAAAGTTTCATAGTACTCCAAGTCCCCCTGCCCTCTTCCCAATAAAAACCATACCTGCCCTTACTATCTTGTCCAGACCTGTCGAAATACCATATCAAGAAAATATCATTTTTGCAACGTTGACAGTGAATTTCAAGAAGGTCCAAGTCAAAATAAGTTTTTAAAGTATATATCGAAAACTTAATCAGATTGAGATACTGGTTAGTCAAGATTGACTAAAGTCAAATCTTATCAATACATCATACTGAGTAAATCAAGAGAACAAGAGGTAGGAATTAAAGATCCATTTAAAATCTAATATGACAGAATACCACCTGGGATATAATAAAATATATAAATTATTACTAATTTTAAGTATAATTAAGAATACTGCATATTTATCTTTTTAGAGCAGGTTAAAATTTTTTGAAGCTTTGTAAAATCAAATATTAAATTAATAAAAAAATGACAATTTAAATAACCTTAAAATTAACTAAATACAGACATCCTACCATTGTTCTACCAATACCAACACTCTATCAACACTCTACAACTACTTACTGATAATTTACAAGTTGCCACTCTACTAAAACGGATTTGGGGTAGAATTCTTTACTATATAAAATCATTCCCAAATAAATCTCAAATGTGCTTGAATAATAGAGCATGAATTCTTTAATGCAGCAGTGTAACAGTGATTTTTTCATTGTCATGCAACATCTACTTTTCTTGCCTTAGGCTACTTAATGACAATTATGCTAGAAGACAATTCTTTAATCATTTTTATTTGTGAGAACTAATTTCTCAGTGCTATATAATACATGTTTAAAATGCTATTTGTAGCTAAAAAACTCATTACAATATTGCATTTCACAGTTCCCTGCGCCATCTTGAAAGGTAGCAATGCCTTTCCATTGAAGCGAGATGAACAGTTAGCTTACAATGATAGTGACCTTTTTTAACACGTTGGACAAATACTCACATGTCTTGTTACGAGCTCACGATTCATCTTGCTTTGATGCAAAGGCATGGCTACCTTTCAAGATAGCGCAGGGAACTGGGAAAGGGACTTCTGTCAAATTAGGACCATATATATTTTGCCTCTTGATATAAATTTTATTTTGAAAAGACAGGAAAAGTTTATTGTAGCTTTTCATCTGTACGTATTTTTGTGGTGAATACTGTGATTTTGCATCAGCTTCCCATCCCCTTTCTTCCCTTTTGTCCAAAGAGCCTTTTAACTCCTCATGTTGCACCAGCATCATTTCCTAAATTTGAATTGAATGCCCAATGTTGTCACTTGGGAACTAAAAGTTGCATACATTCATTATATTACTGCAGCTGTAAACCAGATATGCAAAAGAATTCCACATAATTTTGTCTTGCATGTATTTTGAATTGAAATGCCATTTTGTTTTGTAAGCTTGGAGTCCAAGTCAAACGAGCATGATGACCTCTTGGGCAATCCTTTACAACAGGGTCTTTCAGCATAATATTACTTATATATCGTGTTGCGTATAACGTGCACATGAAGTCATTTTTTTCTCTCATTGCATTTCAGATGCATATCCTTGATTGTATATCTCTCTTAACATGAAAAGAGCTGTGTCCTCTGATAGCCTGAAATAATACAAAATAATTTTAAAAACATTAGAAATCTAACAGAAACAATTTTAATTTATAAGTCAAGCTCTTGACCCAACTTCAGGTGTTCAATTGATAATTTTTATCTGCCACTTTTTACTGTGAAGAAAATATGTTGCTTGGCTACTATTGGGGCCATGTTTAATCATGTTTCAAGTCATTTCCAATTTTCATCTATTTTCACCCGCCCCTTTAAACAGTTGTGCTTTTGGAGAACAGCTGTTTGGGCTTCCTGAGGTAAGAGTAGAAGAGATGGACTAAGTACCTACCAGTAACAAACATGACTGCCAAGAGCAAACAAATACTCATTAAGGCTTTCAATCGGTTTTTCTTGTAGAACATAGTCTATTCTGTTACCACCATTCATTTGGCCTATTTTGATAGTCAATTCATGGCGAGCCCTTTCATCTGTAAGCATAAAATCATAAGAACAATTAGAGCACACCCAATAGGACACTTGTCACAAGTAACATTATATGACAAAGACTAGCCTACATGCCTAAATTCACCTTTTCAGTGCTAGCTTGGATTGTATTACAGTCACCAAAAAGTTCGGATATTTTTTTCGGATTTCCATACAGAGGGGTACTCTTGCCCCTTTAGGGCAGGGATGTGCCGCTGAGCCCACTGAACCCTGACCCTGTTCCAGAGTAAAATCGCTGAAATTCATACCGTTCCAGAGCAAGATCGCTGAAAACCATACCCTGTTTCAGTATTGCAAAAATGGATACCCTGTTCCAGAGAGGAGAGAGCGTGATTTCATATACCCTGTCCCAGACCGAGCGTGATTTTATATACCCTCTTCCAGAGTAGAATCGCTTGAAAACCATGCCCTGTTTGGCGGCACGTACCCGTATAGCGAATATAGGGGAGTACCCCCCCCCCCCCCGGGTCTCAGAATCAATTATAAGAGAATAATTCTAGCTCTATCAATCCCTGTGTATGAAGTTAGGGCATATCAGTTTTATTGTGATCATGCAACAAATACCTTCTGATGAATCACTTGTTGTGGAGGAAGGTGTGGGAGGTGGTTCTGTTTCAGACTCTGTACTGACATAACCACTTGGACTAGTGTGAGCTTTGGCAAACTCATTGATTGATTCCCATGTCATGCGTACAGATTCCATAAGACTGGCTTTGAGATTGGCCCCAAAACGACTTAGATTATCCCGTAACTCTGAAAAAGAAAAGAAAATTGAAAGGAAAGAAATGAAAACACAACTACAACATAACCGACTGTACTATAGAATGATTTAGTTAAATAATATGAAGTGTGCCATTTTAATATATGGAGTGCATAGTAGCCTAGAACAGGTTAACTTGACTTAATGCTAGCTAAACGCTTGAAAGAAAGGATTGAATAATCAATTGAAAGAACGAAAAAGTGAATAAATGAACAATTAAAAGTATTAGTTAAAAGCATACAAAATGAAAACAGCTGTGTCTAAAGAGTTCAAAATAAAATTTGATTGTCAAGATTATTACCAATATCACAAAGTTTACATAACAAAATATTCAGTTTTTTATGTGTTTGTCGTCTTATTGATCTGTGATAAAAAATAAACAATCAGCGCCCGAGAAATTTGCAAGTCATTGTAAAAATAACCCCAGCAGCAACTACAGCTGCATGTAAGGTTACTTGAATTAAAATATACTTACCTAGATGCATCCGTTTTCTACCTTTGTGGTGTGGTAACATAACTGGAGGTATTGCAAATGTTGGATCTACTATGGGTTCTATCTTGAAAGCCACTGGATCAAACTATTTAAAAAAATACATATTAAAAGTTAAAGAAAAGAGATAGATATCAGGAAAATTAATTTCCATGACTAATAACAAGAACAATCAAGGTTCCTTCTTTCCTTCTGCTTTGTTCTTCGCTTCAAGGCCTGGTATTGGTAAAAGTGACGGCCGTCAAGTGTTGGCTGATAGTCGGTGAAAGATTAAAGATTCGGACTATCGACCTATAGTCAGGCAATATTTGACCGACGCATGTCGGCTGGTCATGAAGTACGCAATTACTACCCATCTCGCCTGTATAAGTGCTGCCCCAAAGGAAATAGGGGAACACAGTAAGTTTAGTTCATATTGTGCATTCAGAAAATATGCATTATGCTTAATATGTAATTGAAAATAAATACAATTTTTTGGGGGGGGGGGGGGGGGGCGGTGAGTCAAAGTGATTATTTTGGAATGTGAGATTTTTCTTAATATAGGCAGAAATGTAAAATAAACTACTCACTGGATGAAAAATATTATAGAATCTTGGACATGTTGGCAGTTGATAGTCTGGTCCAACCTGATCCACACCCCTACAACCAAGAGAACATTATTATGATATGTGAATGGAGTGCATGATAATTCCACAATTTAAAAAGTATTGGTTTTTAGCCTGGAGGACAGTACGTTCCTTGCTTTGATATAAATGAATATTAATTAGGCTGGTCTTAAACAAAGTAAATGTGAATTAATTGAGCAATATTGTCTAAAAGATATTTAGTTTTATATGGATGATTGAGCTTGGAGGACAAAATCTTCCCATTCTACCTCCCCTCCCCTCCCTTCCCCCCTTAACATTTACTCAAGGGGTTGATACCAAGTATCTACTGGTATGATGACTATACTACCAGTATTTACTTACCTAACAGTCATAAACATGCCGATAGGAGACCCCAAGGCAAACATAGCAAATGGTTTAAAGTTTAACTGTGGATAATTGACAAAGGGTTGACCAGTTCCTGCCATTCCCTGGTGATACAGGACCTCAACACTTTCAACTGCTGCAAGTGATTCGGCAGAACTACTGGATAGGTTATCTTCCTTGTCTTGAGACTTTTCCAAGGCTTTGATAGCCCTAGCTTCAGCCCTTGCTTTAGCTCTATCAGATTTCTCTTGTCTTCGTTTATCCTGGTAAATGCAATCATATAATTTTGTTAACTAATCGCTAATAATATTAAAGTATATATCAAGGAAAAAATGTTATTTTCAAAATCACTTATATGTGAAGAGTGTAGTAGTATGGTTGCAGTATCTTTGTATGTGGACTTCTTTCATTGATATAAATATGTGAAATATCAATATGCAAATGAGATTATGTAAATTCAAGACTTATTTATTATACAAAAATGCTGTTGTAAGAAGTACTTATTGGTTATTGGTTGGACACTTCTGATGCTCTTTACCTGTAATATTGTATGTTGTTTAATGTATCCCATGATTTTCTTCCGTGGACCCATAGGCAGGCCAATCTCTTTGATATCAGACTCACTGAATGACAGCTGACAGAGAAGAATAAAATAAGGTCTCATCACTTTCAAATTAGATTAGCTGTGATTAGCTACAATCTTAGACAAAAAGAGTTGAGAATTTTTCATCCAATCATGAAATAGTAAAATTTTTATTGTCAGTATCCCCTCTCCCCCAGGACAATGTTGGTCCCAGTAGGTAAAGCAGCTCTGTCTCCCTGGAAACAACATTGTTTAGGGGGGGAGGGGGTCATTTTAAGGGGAATTTCTCATGTTTTTCATGAAAATACCATCAAAACTAAAAATTTCTTAACATTTTTGACTAAGATTGTAGCTAGGCACTGATTGAGATATAAGCTGCAACACTGGTAGTTTAGCAGTGTGCAAAGCATCTTATACTGGAAAACCTTAAGTTCRAAGCCATTTGGCAAAAATACAGGCTTTGCACCATCACGTGTGAGAAGCCATGACAGGAGCAGGAACATTGGAATCTAGTCTAATCTGATTTACATGAAAAAGAAAAATCAGTTTCCTAGGGGGAAAAACACCCTATTGTTGTGCCTCCTATTTATATCATGGCTGCAGTCACAAGATCATGCAAATTTCTATACTCCAGTTTCCCTGAATAACTGTTCCCTTTTGCTCAGCCTTTAGGCACGATTACACAGAGCAATTTTTTTTTGCATTTTGTCTCGCAACAGTGTTGTGACACAACTTGTAAGAGTGTCTACACGGTGCAATGGAGACACAATCGTTGCCAAAAGTAGAAACTAATTTTTTTTGTAACAACTGCTGCAACTTGTCTTGCAACATTTTTCAAATTTTGCTGTAAGTTACACGCTGCAATGCTCCATGCAACTTATGTTGCAACGCTGTTGTGAGACAAGTTGCAAAGAAAATTGCTCCGTGTAATTGGGCCTTTAGTCTCAGTTGTGTGTTGAATTATTTAGTTATTCAACCAAAACCAGTGGAATTTTAATCAACTTGTATTGTGTCAAGAAAAGAACACACAATTTTGACAACATCAAGGATTAAAGGCTGGGCAAAGGCAAACTCCAAATGGAAGTATTTACCGCATAACACAGCTTGATTTAGACAAAGAAACAATTATAGAAAATGTCTAAGACTTACTAATGTTTCCATATCAATTTTCTCTTTTTCAAAGGCTGTCTTATACTCATTTAATCCCAACTGGTTTAATACTTCAGACAGGGTAGGACTGGCATCAGTATTATCCTCTTCATCAGATTTGTCTAGTTCTTCAGCTGTAGTTGGTTGGGGACTACTTGTCCTGAGCAGATATTAATTATTACAAAATATATCAAGAAATTTCCATCCCTTTTAAGGCTGATGATCTAAACTCACATAGCAAATCCTGAAACAACCTCTGGGCTGATCTAAGTCAGGGCATGGACAACTCACAGATCGAACCCTGAAACAACCTCTGGGCTGATCTAAGTCATCACATGGATAACTTATAGTCTATCGAACCCTAAAACAACCTCTCACCTTTTCAAGAACAACACTAAAAGTGAGCTTGGGCTACCTGCGATTGAACAAGATTTTGGAGAAACTGGAGCCCTATGTTTCCAGTTAGCCTCAAACACAAAAGCTGGTCTTAATAAACAATTGGCAGAATAAAGTATTGTACTGTGTAAAATATTTTTCATACCTGTCTGAGCTAGGTTTAGATTTAACATCTGGATTGGATTGGTCTTTCTGATGATACAGAATATCAAACATAATACTTGAACCTGGAACGACAAGCTTTATGTTATTTTTTGTACTTTTGCTGAAAAAATCAAGACTACAGTAGCTGGAGCTTTAAAACTCAAAACTGTAAGACTCTTTAAATGCAAGAGGAAACTTTTGCGAGATGCTTATAATAATAACAATAATAATAACAATGATGATGATGATGATGATGATGATGATGGTGTTAATGGTGGTCATGATGATGTTGTAATATATACAATATTCCCGTGAGATCTGTATGAGGATTTAAACCAGTGAGCTGCAAGTGAGGGTGCAAGGGCTTACAGATGCCTTCACGGTAGTGATTTTGTATTGTTCTAAGGTCATTAATTATTCATGATTGTTGTTGTTGTTGATGATGATGATATCGATGTTGATGATGATATTGATGATGATATTGATGTTGATGATGATGTTGATGATGATGTTGATGGTGATGTTGTTGTTGATGATGATGATATTGATGATGATATTGATGATGATGTTGATGGTGATGTTGTTGTTGATGGTGATGATGATGATGATGATGATGACATACCAAGGCTGTGTCCACAGACAGAAACATCTCCCTTGAATGAAGGATTTCTTTTTCTGAAAAGATCAAGAAGTCTCTTCATCTCTGAACCAACTGTATCCACAATAGTCTGAAAATAGAAACATCCAAAACTACCTATTACTAAAAACACTTGATAGCATTAAGAAAAKAAAATAACACAATTTAACATTAAAATTACTATCCATTTTGTCGTCACTACAGAATCCTGCAATCTGATTGGTTAAGAATTGCTCAATTTAATCATACAATGCACTCCATTCAGTTAGTATTACCGTCATGATATCAACAATACTGCATGTCAGTAATACTTAGAGAGCAGTGTCCACGATGTTGCCAGCACACATCTCCATGCTGACATCAATGATTTTCATGATGGATATCACAAGCACCATCATATATCAAATGTTAATAATTTTTTTCATGTGATAGACATCTTGACATTTTGTGAGATGAAAGTTGTGCTTAGAACACTAAATTAGGTTTATGCATACACTGTTTTAAACAGACTCTTAGCCTCTGGTTAGGGAGACTCGGAAACAGCCCTATAACCATGGTGTAACACAAAGATTATTTTTATAATAGTGCATCCTATATATCCATGAAAAGGTTAAATTATCTAACAAAATGGTACAAATGAGTGCAAAGTTTTTTAGATCTACGGTTTACTGAGGTCTACTGAACTTATTATTAATTTAAGCAAATTTGTGCAATTTCTTACAAAAATGTTTCATGGATAATTATATTATAGTATGCACTCTACCACGTATAGTAGCAGCTATTAATTAACATCATAGACTGACAGTGGATCTTATTAAACAGACCAGAAAAGTTAACAGAGAAGATTTGTTACCTGGCAGTAAGTTGGACTTGTATAAAACAATATGTCAAGTAAAGTACTGTTTGTGAATTCTCGTAGCCTGGTGATGCTTGGTAAAGATATAGAATGCAATTTCCTGAAATGTAAACAAGTCTATTAAATATTTATTAAATATAATTAATAATATACAACATCAAATTTATAATATTTGCTATAACATTATAATCCTAATACACAGGACCATCACATATAGGGTATATTATAGAGTATTTTATATTCATGCACACATCATTATTATTATTATCATTGTTGTCACCATCATCATTACAACCACAACCACGACCACCATGATCAATCATCATTATTACCATCATCACCAACACCTTCATCATCACCATCACCATCATTAACATCATCACCACTACCATGATCACCCCCATCACATTCATCATCGTAATCATCATATTTATCTCTACCATCACCATCATCGTGATCATCATCACCA